TTTTTTTTTTTTCTCGTATTAAATTTTTTTATTAAATTAAAAAATTCAATTAAATAATAAAAAAATTTTTCATTTTCTCGTAAACGAATTTCATTGAATTTATCATTTAGTAATTTTTCAAAATTTAATTTTAATAAATCAAATCCATGAGGTGTTATTTTTTCACCCCTACACCACCACCACCACCACCACCAACACCAACACCACCACCACAAAGACGAGGAGTGGGAGGATCTCAAACAACAATCATTATTATTATTATTACTTTTTTTCAATTTGTTTTTGTTATTTTTTTTTCTTATTAATAATTTTTTATTACGTTTTTCAATTTTATATTTAAATTTTTTTATCATTTTATCATCACCTGATTTCCTAATATCAGGTGAATCGATTAATATACTCGGTGCGAGGGATTTATCGAAAATCATCGGAGAATCATCTGATATGTTATTTAAAAAATTAAAAGATGATTCATTTGTTTTATTTATTATTTTTTTATTTTTATTTTCCGGATATAAATAAAATTTATCACCTTTTCTTGATTTAACCATTCTATATAATCCGGGTAATAAATTAAATTCACCCAATTCCGTTATACCTTTTATTTCATTATCGGAATTTATCGTTTGAACGTGACACGTTTTATAACATGGATCTATTGTTTGAATGTTTTGACTTTTTTTACTTTTAATATCTTGTAAAACGTTTGATGATGATGTTTGAGTATGAATATCTTTTGTGACTGTGGTCGTGGGGGTGGTGATTGTCGTGTTTTTACTGCCACTACTGCTGCTACTGCTCCTGCTACTGCTTCTGTTCCTGTTTCTATTGCTTCGTCTTTTCCTTTTGATTTTTTCAACCGTTTCAAATTTATAACGATCGCAATTAAAAACTTCCAATGATTTTTTAGAATAATTATAAGCGAAATGCATTTTATCAGGTGATGATGAAGATGAATTATTATCATTTTTTTCAAAAATTAAACTTTTTATTTTAAATCCGGTTTCTTCGGCGTGACAATAAATCGAACGTAAACGAGTTTCGATTTCTTTTTTATATTTATCCATTTCGATATTTTTACAATCGTTTTTTTTACTCGTTTCCGTTGAAAATAATTTATTATCTTCGTGTACGACTGTATTTAAAACGAATTCATCTTGTACTTTAATTGAATTATTATTATTATTATTGGAATTGCAAGAGGAGGTTAGATCGCACTCGGGTTTTTTCGGTTTATCCGGTTTTTTATCACAGTCTTCTTCCATGTTGTTGTTATCACGTTTTTGATTTTTTTTTTTCATTTTTTTATTTAAATTATTTACTTGCATGGCTTGTAAAATATTTTTTCTCACGCTGCTTATCATGTTTGGAGAAATATGAAAGTGATAAAGGCTCATGAATTTTTGTAAAGTTTCGCTCACAGCTTTTTCAACGACTTCTTCGTTACAGGGTATAAATTTAAATTTTCTTTGATCTTTTGCCGTTGAAAAAATGGATGCTGAATCTTGTTCGATTATTTTATCTTTTGATAATATTTTTTTATTATCGTATTCGGACTCGTCAAGTTTAAAAATTTTACCATCGCCATCATCGAGAAAATGTCGTCCACTCAATTTTATTTTTTTTTTATCGAAATAATTTTTTAATTCTTGCAAACCTTTTTTTCTTTCGCCATTATTATTATTATTATTTTTATTATTCGATGAAGAATTTATTTGCTTCTTAACATCGTTTTCACTTACATCCGTACTTTTTAATGAATCTTTATCGGAAATTATTTTAAATTTATCATTTATGAAATTTGATCCGTTTCTCGGTTTACCTTCTTCTTCTTTTACTTCTTCACCTTCTCTTTCTTCTCCTGCTTCATCTTCATCGTGTTCTTTTTCCTTGTTTGGATTTGATATTTTTAACCATTCTTTAAAATTTGTTTCTTTTATATGTTTCATTAATTTTTCATATTCTTCTTCGTTACCCATTTGTTGTTTGACTTTTTGAAGTAATCTGAATTCTTGTGCTGATAATTTACCCGTATCCGAACCTCGACATTTGGATGCCAATATAATGAGTTTAGCTTCGAGTTGTTTCATGTCTGAAGACACCGTGTGAACCTCTTTTTTCGTATAATTATTTATTATATCTCGTGCTTTTGCTTCTAGAAATTGATCCATATTTTTGCTGGGATCGTGTTGATTACTAGAATAAAACGATTCCATCGCGTTTCGTTTTTTATTTTTATTTTTTTGTTTTAACGTTTGAATTTGCAGTCTTTTTTTTCCATCTTCCCGATTTTTTTCAACGCGATTAACCCCACAATTTACAGGTGCGTGAGATACATCAAAGTTATTTTTCGTTGCGATTTTAATTTCTAAATTACTAACTGTTGATTCTGATGATTTTCGAGGATTGACCCAAAATACGGTTAGAGGTTTCGTATCTTGAGTCAAAGGTCCATCTGAAATAAATAAAAAGTGAACGTCACGCAACGCGGAAAATGTTAAAGGAAAATGAGGGGTTTTTCTTTTTACCTGTGCTGCATTGTGTGTTGGTATCCGTTTGATCTACCCCCCCAGGTTGACTGTTTAATACACATGGTATATCATCAGTTCGATCCGTTTCTGTTTTTAATTTTAAATCTTCCACGGATTTTTTGTATTTTGATACTAATTTCGAAGATTTTTGATCCGATGATACATGACCTAAATAACATAATTATATGTATTTTTATGAATAAATATTCTAACGTTTAAATTATTAATTAGTATCTTATCTCTTATCGCGACGTATAAATTCACACGTATATATGTGTAAAGTAACAATTTCGCGTGATAAAAAAAAATTATGTGAGAGACCTAGGGTAGTGAGATTGGGCAAACATACGCTCCAGTCCAAATCTGAAAATTCAAAAATAATAATAATAATGATAAATCATTCGAATAATAAAAGTAAATAATATTTAATTAAACTCACTTTGATTTTGCCTTTGACTGAGACCGAGGCTATTTTTCAGCCAAGGAGGAAAAAATGTACTTGATTCATTATCAATATCTTTGCTATCACATTCGCTGTGATTGGCTTGAAAATTGGTACCGTCGGAAGAATTTTTAACTGATGAATAATCGTTAAATAATAACTTTTTACTTTTGATTATTTTCTTTTTGTTATTATCAATAAACTCGTGAATCATATCTTTAATATACGACCACCATCTCCATGACCGAAACTAATGCGGTTTCAGCATGCAGGCATTTAACAAACAAAAAAAAAAACAAAAACAAAAACATAAAAAACAAAATTTTTTTTTTTTTTCAAGGCTCCCGATATCTAAAATATATTATTATTATTATTTAAAAAAAAAAAAATTAAATTAAAAAAAAAAAAAAAATTTATTTAATAACAAAAATCCGGCACATTACAGTTTATAAATAGAAAATTTTTTCAAAGGTTGGCTTAAGTTGAGAATTTTTTTCATTTGGCAAGTAAAATATTATTATTATTATTATTATTATTATTATTATTCATCGAGTTCTATTAAATAATAACGGTTTTTTGATATTTTTAAATAAAAATTTTTTAATGATAAAAAATAAAAAATTTTTATTTCCATTTATGCAATAATAATATTAAATTATTTTAATTTTAAAATGACCGTTTCCCCCCCCCCTCCCCCCGACATCGCCACCCTTTTTATACAAATCAATTTTAATAAATACATAGTAATTTATTAATTTTATTAATAATAAAAAAAATTGTTTAAATAAATAAATATTATTTTACAATAATAATAATGTTTATATTTTTTTATTTATTTTGTTTACCTAATAATAATAATAATAATAATAATAATAATAATAAATCTCGTGATTAATTTTTTCAATGTAAACAATAAATTATTTTAATGTTATGTTAATAATTTTTATGTTAATAATTTTTAATAAAACTTTAAATTGTATTTATTTTTTATTTTTTTTTGATAAAATTAAAAAAAGGCTGTGGAAAATTATGTTTTGTTTTTGTTTTTGTTTTGTTTTTTTTTTTAAAAATGATTGTTTAATAAAAGACAATTGAATTTATTTATTTGTTATAAAAAAAAGGGAAAAAGTTAAAGTAAAATAATTTATTAATTTTTTTTATTAAAAAAACCGTTTTTCGGATATTTATAAAAAGGTAAACGTATTATGTTTTATTATTATTATTATTATTTGTATCAATGGTATTATTTCGTTCACAAAAACACACAAAATGTAATAGATAATAATTATTATTATTTTTCTTTTTTATTTAGATACATGGAAGAATAAAAGAGAGAGAGAGAGAGAGAGAGAAAAAGAAAATGTCTTCCAAAGAAATAGTTAAAGTTATTTTGGATGATATAATAACTTTATCCGTAGCTTTATTCTTAGATATAGGTAAGTAATAATAATAATAATTTTCTGTTGTTATTTTATTACCGTAATTAATTATTTTATATAAAAAATTCTTTTATATAAATAAAGATTACAAACGGAAGTGCAACGATGTTGAAGATTTCACACAAAAATTTCACAAAACTGATAAAAAATGTTTATATTCAAATGATTTAATGGAATTAAATGTAAGAGAAAAAACAACTTCCGGTAATTATAAAAATCCGTTAGAAAAAGAGGAAGAAGAAGAAGAAGAATCCACGAGTTCTACGTCACAAAAAGAAAATTTAATGAATTACGTTTTCGATGATAATAATTTATCATATAACGAAGGTATTAAAAATATAAACGATTGTAAAATAATAACAGAAGAAATATTAGCCAATAGCGAATTGCTTATTGAAAACGGTCAAATAAGAATAGATAAAAACAATATGGCGGATGCGACAGAAGTCAAAGATGATTATAATATACAAATTCAAAGGTTAGAATATTTAAATAAAAAAGATGTTATTAAAGATGAAAAAATTGAAATAGAATATTTAAACGAAGGAAAAATAAATAAAATTTACGTACCCATTATCAGTAATAATACTAATAATAATAATAATAATTATAATTTTGATGTCGATGATAAAAACGATGCGGAAAATTCCAGTGAAAATATATGCAATATTGAAAACGTTGATAATAGTAATTCACCAGATGATTCTACTAACGGTTCAAAACAGGTAAGAACTTATTTATTTATTCTATTTATTTATTTATTTAAAATGATTTTATTTAACTTTTCTTCTTTTTTTTTTCCAGATTTGGGATAATAATAACAGTTCAGTTGTTGTGGGATGGAACGTTTCAACCCAGCCCAATGACGTTTTTCAAAAAAGAAATAATTTTTCTGTTAGTGAAATGTATTCTGATATTCATACAGGTTTTAAAAGAGCGCAAATGTCTACAATTTGTGAAAAAAATGCAAACGAAGTACTATTGAAATTATTATCATTATTATTTGAAAGGTTCGAAATATTATTTACTAAAGGATATATATACATAATATTTTCAGATCAGGAGTGAATTAGAAGAAATACATTTTAATCAAACATATTTAGTTTATGACGAATTCCCTTATCACTCTGATGGAAAAGGTGATGCTGATTTAGAATCTAAATCAGTGAACGTGGAAAATCAAAAAAATTTTGTCAACGAATCAAAAACAAATTTGATTAAAAGTAAAGAAAATTTAAAAATGGATGAATTGAATGTTGATTCTATAACGGAATTTGTACCGAAAAATCATCAGATATCCGAACCGGAAGGAAACGAACAAAGGAATTTAAATACAAATGAAATTAAATTTTTAACGGAAAATTCAATGGAAACCGACACGAGCCCATATTCGTTAAATGAAACGGAAAATTTAAACGAACAAAAAAATAATAATAATAATTATAATTTATCCGACGACTCGAAAATTTTATTTCCTAATTTAAACTCTTGTTTAATCGAAGGATCCCATCATGATTTTGTTATCAGTAGTACCGATACCGATGGTATTATTATTATTATTATCATATTATTTATTTATTGATTTGGTTTTATACAATCACTTATTTATTTTTTTTGTGTTTAATTAGATACAGAAAACGAAAAATATATTAATAATAAATCATTTGAAGAATCGACAAAAAATTTAAATCAGACAAAGGATGAAGTTTCAGACAGTTGTCATTGTTTTATTTCGAAATCAGATTTGAATGAAAAAAAAAACACCAACAGTGAATTTTCCACACGAGATAATGATAATATTGAATCTAATTACGTACCTGATACTAAACCGTATGAAGAAAAAAATTTGTCAGAGAAAACTTTTATTGTACCCTTTCAAAACTCTTTGTTATCCAGTAAATGTGAAATATCTGAAATAAAAGATAATAATAATGATAATGTTATATTATCAATCAACACAGAATCTAATCAGAGTTTAGAAAAAATTAATAATAATAATAATAATAATAATAATAGCAGTAGAGAAAACGTACCGTCGTCGAACAAAAAAGAAGAACAAGAAGAGGATGATGTTGATGATGGCGCGGAAAAACATTTTAAAAACAAAGGTAAACAAATTTTTTTAATTTCCTTTTTTTTTTTTTTTAATATTCGGAAAACTCTAAATCACGTGATTTTTTTTTAACAGGAAATAATATTGAAATTTCATCGGATACGGGTTGGACGACCGATGACGTGTTAAATGAAAAAAAATCTTCGACTTTGATCAGAAGACAACAATCCGATACACCTTCGAATAAATCCGATGTTGCCGTGAGTAAAAATAATTAAAAAAATAAATTAATAAAAATAATAATAATAATAATAATAATTTATAATTTTAGCCGATTTGCACAAAAGAAAATAATAATACAATTCAATCAAATTCCGAAGATGCTTTTATCGATTTGGTGGAAAATGTTATTCAAATAGTAGATCCATCAGATAACAGTAACGAAGATGATGATGATGATGATGATGGTGAAGAAGATGAAGAAGGAGAAGAAAGAAATCATGAATCATCGAGTAAAGTATCAATATCACTATACAACGAAAATCAATATGTAAAAAAATATTCATCAGAATGTTTAATATCATCGAATGAAATGAAATATTTAAATTCCGGTGAATTTGCTGATATGAGTGATAACATGGCCGAAACATCCTTTCGTAATGATAACACAATGTGAGATATGTTTTGTTTTTTTTTTTTTTTTTGTTATAAATGTTATTAAATGTAGATATTAAAAAAATTTTTTTTTTTTGTTATAATTCCAGGGAGGACGAGGATACGGGAATTAAAAGAAGTACATTTTCTGGAATGACAACGATCGGACCAATAAAAAATTACGATAGAGATCCAAAAGATTTAACATGTCCGGATATTGATTTTGGTAAAATGACTAGAATCGCATCTTTTAAAAACGTTGAAAAAAATTTACATAAAATAAGAAAGAAATCAAATTCGTCATTTGCAAATAATACGATGACGATGACGATGGCAACGACGACGTCGACGACGACGACAACAACAACAGGAAAAGAAAAATGTTGCGAATGTAAATCCCTTATTAATAGAGACATAACAAGTTTAAATAAATTACAAAAAATAAGCGAAGTCATGTCATATCAACCAAAATCCGAAGAAATATTTGATAGAGATCAAGATGTTTCTCATTCACGTTTAGATTTAAAAAATGTCGAATCCGATGAATCAATGTCGTACGAGAAATGTAAGATTTCAGGTAATTAATTTACCGGAAATGAAAAAATAACGGTTTTTTTTTAAATCCCTTTGTTTGAAATTTGAAAAATTTTTTTTCAGATGTTAATATACCTTCTTTACTCTCATACGAACCTGAGGATAACAATGCGATGGATATTAATAAAAGAGTTATTGAATGCGATCATCATTTAATATTTAAAGATAATTATTCTTCTTCCAATGATCCCATACCTGAAGAACAAAATTTTACAAACAATAACGGTAAGTTATTTTATTAATTATTATTATTATTAATTTTTATATTCTGATCAGGAATATTAAATATATACGTGTGTGTGTGAGTGTATGCCTGTATGCATGTGATTTTTTTTTTTTTAAATTTTAAATTAAATAAATAAATAAGGGAAGAATATCGGAAGAAACCGCGTTAAATAAAAAAAAAAAAAAAATTTTCGTTAAAATAATGAAACCAACATGTCGATACGAAGCGCAAGAAACTTTACGCATTCTATTTAAAAAAAAAATTGAAATTTTTTTACGATGACGATGATCTATTTTTAAAAAATCTTTGCCTGTAGACATAACCGAACCGATGACTTCCCAGAGCAGCATAAAATCAATAATAAACGATTATCAATCATCGGCAAGTAATTTTTTAAAAAGGAGCCGCTCATACCTGAAAAATACTCAACAACAAGTTTTTCAAACTTTAACATTAAATCGTTTCGGATCGATGACTATGACCGGTGGAAATTTAAGGGAAAAAAAAAATTTTTCACCTTCCGAACCTGATGTTAGAAAAACTGGGAAAAAAATTTCCATATTGAAAAAGGAAAGTTTTATAAGAGCTAAAAATGTTATACAGAACACGTTTGGAAAAGCTGCCGGAAAAACGGCGTCACTCGTTGTTTCTTCTTCCACTTCAAATGATTCTTCATCAATAATAAAAAAATCAAAATCTGAAAATCCAGCGAACGAAATAAATAAAAAAAAAATCGATGAAATAATAAATGATGATAATGATAATGATAATGATGATAAATCAATTGAGAAAAATTTATCAGTTGGTAATAGGGAAACTGATGAAAAAAAATTAGAAAATAATTTTGTACAATCGTCGTATGTACAAACGGATGAACAAACGGAAACGAAATTGGAAAATTTACACATTTCCCTTAATTACAAATACAGTTCAGAAAATAATTATTTTGCCGAACAAGGTAATTTATTATTATTATTATTTTCTTTCTTTTTCATTTTGAAATTTTTATAAAACTATAAAAATCATTTTCCTGATCAGAACCTTTTTTTTTTTTTTTCTGTTTTGGGGGAGAGCAAAAACTCCAGGGGGATAATTTATAAATAAATTCTTTTTTACTCATTTTATTATATAGTAAAGGTAAAAGTTATTATTATTATTATTATTTTTTTTTTTTTACGCGAACGTGTAGATAATACAGAAGAACGTTCGGATTTTATTTTAATGGAAACCGTTCAAGGAATATCAGAATCGGAAATAAATAATCTCGGTCCCTCGTGTAAATTTGAAAATACTCAAGGTGAGATTAATTTATAATCAATTTATCATTATCATCATTATTATTATTATTAATATTTGTTTTTCTCGCAGGTATAAATGTTTACGAAGATAAAGTAAAAAAAAAAGTAGTACCGATTGACGATTCGGAAAATATCCGGGATAATAATTTAATAGAATCGATAATGGAAGAAAATCAAATACAAACGGATACAACCGGAAGTGCGGAAAAAAATAAAAATAAAAAATTTACGTCGAAAATAAAAAATTTTTGGCGTTCGACGTTTGGAAAAGTGAAAAATATATCTAATAAAAAGAAACAATGAAAAGAAAATTTTCAATTTTTCACATGGGCGTCCTTTTTATTATTATATCATTATGTATTTGGAGTCCGGGCATTCGTCAAAATGTGCCATCATCATCATCCCCATTTTCAAAAAGGGTTTAATAATAATAATAATAATATATCCATAAACCGTTTTTTTCCTTATCACGTTACTTATCAATTATTTTTTGTTATCATATAAAATTCACGTGGTTCTTTTTATTGTTGTTGTTGTTTTTGTTGTTTAATTTAAATTCAATTACAATGTTGTAAAAAAAATTTTTATTATTGTTGTAATTCATTCTCCATTATTAATAGTTATTAAATAATAATAATAATAATAATAATAATAATAATAATTTTTTTTTCATTTTTAGTTACGAAAAGCGAATATTTTTTCTGTTGGGTTCAATCTTATAGACTCTTATTGCCATACAATCGAGTTGTCGATTTTAAACGTTTATTTATTATAATAATAATAATGATGATGATAATGATAATGATTTTCTTCGTTATGATGAAATCGTCGTTGTAGTGAATTTTATTGTGATGCGAAAAAAAAATCATCATTGACACGAATTTTAATAAGAATAAAAATTTGCGTGTAAGGCCGAATTTTTTTTTTTATATTCACAATAATAATAATAATAAAAGCTCTTGTGTATGACCGACTTATATAAAAATGAATCAAAAATAGCAGACTGTCCTACATTTTACATTGCCATTTTTTTTTTTTTTTTAAAGAATAAAATAAAAAAAATTTGAATTGATGAATTTAATATAATTTTTCCAATAAATCATTTTTTTTTTCTTTGGAGAAATAAAAAAGTTTTTTTCCAAACTCTATGCGTGTGAATGTGCGTGTGTGCGTGTGTGATGGCATATAATATTCTCGGTGAGAATAATAAAAATATATTTTTTAGGGAATGCGTTCAAATTTCCTTTTTGTTTAAAAAAAAAAAAAAAAAAAATGATTTCGGATGGATTCGAGTTAATTCGTTAAAAACGCGTTGTTGAAGTTATTTTCGGATATGCGGGCAAATTTCCCAAATTTTTATTTGAATTTAAGTTTAGTCACTTGCAGTCTTTTGCTAATACAAGAAACAAATATAAATAATTTATTAAAACAACAACATAATGGTAAGCTTTTTTATTATTATTATTATTTTTTCTCTTTTTTATTTAAATTTTTTTTTTAAATAAAAAAAACAAAGCAAAAGTGATTTAATGCTGTCGTTTTTATTTTTTTACCCATTTTTTTTTTACTTTAGTGTAATTACGTATTTTTCATGTCGTAGAAAAAAACTTTAAAATTTCTTTTGTAAATTTTTTTTACCACACACTTAATTATTACACGTTCAATATTTAATATAAATAATAAAAATAATGATAGATTATTATTATTAAAATGTATTTTATTTTTTCGATAGGCTGACCTGAGTTCTCGGGATTTGGAAAGTGAGTAAAATTATTTATTTATTTATTTAAATAATAAATTTTAATCTTCGTGTGTTCTTTTATTTTTTTATTAATTAATTATAAAACAAAGTAAAAAATAAAAAAAAATAAAATAATAATAAAATATATTAATAAATACAATAAGAGTTATAAATAAATTGTGTGACGTCATAATAATGAAATTGAGATTACTAACTGACTGACCTTATAAGTCTTGCAACTATTATTAGTTGTCTGAACAAAAATAAATAAATAAATAAATAATTTTTTTTTTTTGGTTGTTTTTTTAACAGGAGCAAATTTTGCATTTTCCATTTACGATTTGGACGGTTCTGGTACCGTTGATGCTTTTTACCTCGGTGACGTATTAAGAGGACTCAATTTAAATCCGACAAATGCAACCATAGAAAAATTGGGAGGAACTAAGAAAAAAGGAGAAAAAACATTAAAAGTCGATGAATTTCTACCAATTTTTAGCCAATGTAAAAAAGATAAAGATCACGGAGGCTATGAAGATTTTTTGGAATGTTTAAAATTGTACGATAAAGCCGAAAATGGTTTGATGCTCGGTGCCGAATTATCTCACACTCTTTTGGCTCTTGGTAATCCACACCATTTTCCATCATTTTCCATCATTTTCCCTGTCTTTCCACAAAAAAAGAAAATAACAATAATTTTTTTTGTAAATAGGTGAAAGATTAACCGATGCTGAATGCGATGAAATTATGAAAGATTGCTGCCCAGCAGAAGACGACGAAGGTTTCATCGATTATGCAGGTAATATTAATTATTATTATTATTTATTTATTTATTTAAATTATCTTCAAGTAGATTTTAATAAAAGTTGGCATTTGTATTAATTTTTTTTTTTTTTTGAATTTTGAAAAAAAAGGGACTAAATGCCAACCAAAACCAAAACTGAGACGAACAAAAAAACAAAAATTTTATTATTATTATTAATTTATTTTACATTGAGTAGTACATTTAACAATTAAATATTAGAAAGAAAAAAAAAAACCAAAATGAAATTTGGTTGTAGTTAAATAAAAATTAAATTAGTTTTAACCCTTAGTTAGTTGAAGTATTTAGTTTTTATTTATTTTTTATTAGTATTTCGCATAAGCTAAATATGTAAATTTAGAAAACTAATAATTAATTATTTAAATTGTTTTTAAATAATTTAAATTTTAGCATTCCTCAAAAAATTGGTTGCAAATCAAGTATAAAAACAATGACACCAAGTTTTTTCGTAGTATTTAAAACCTCACTCCTTAGTACCTTATTATTATTATTATTATCATTAACTGTTTTTTTCTGAATGTTTAACAATAATTTTCTTAATTAAATTTAGGTTTCAATAGGTTTGTAAATTTTTTTTTTAATAAATGTTAGTGAGTCAAACTTTTTATTTCTTTATCGTATCGTCGTTAAAATTTCCTTTTGATTTATTGTTATTATTATTCTGTTGTTTTTTTTTTTAATTTAAGAAATTTATTAATTTTTTTTGTTTTTTGTTTTCTTTTTAGCGTTTTTAAAGAATTTGTGTAATCAACCTGCAGAATAAACATTAAAAAAAAACAAATTATCTATCCTTCAAAACAAAAACCAAGTGACAAACGAAAATATGAAGAATCATTAAAAATATTACTTTTTTTTTTTTGTCAGGTGACTCAAATCAATAATAATAATAATATATTGTTAATAATCTATGTATTTATTTATTTTCCTTTATATAAACCTTCAATAAATATTTTTTTTTTTTGGTTTTAAAAACGATTTATGTAATTTATTAAAAATTTTTAAACACGATCAACGTGTTGTTGCAATGATAATCCAATGTTCAGATAAATAAATTACATAAATGGATTGTTCAGAAACTGATTATTAATGCCTTTAATTGTTAATATATTATTTGATCATGTTATTTATTTTTGCTGCCTAAGAATACTTTTCGTCCATTTAAAAATTTAAATACCCTCCCAAATTTGATAAATTTTTAAAAAATGACTTTTTGCTTTCAAATTATAATTGAAAATGTATTCTTCTTGTCGAAACATGATTTAAAAAATAATTTTTTATGTTTTTAACGTTTGTTTTCTTGTACGGCTTTGTATTAAGAGTCTTTTAATTTTATTTTTTATTTTTTCTATGTGTGTGTTTTTAAAAATACGTTTATCAAATGGTTATAAAAAAAATTCTTAAATGAATTGATTGATAAGAAAAATGGCCTAAAAGTTTTAATTAACGATTGTAATATTATTATTTATTCGACGGAATGTCACGAACTTATTATTATAAAGAGAAAATTTAATTTTTAAATAATTTGTTATATAAACAATATTTAATAATAATAAATATAATTTAAAAATTTGACAAAACATGTGTAATTATATGGGATTAGATTTAAGCACTCAAAAGGTAAGTTTTAGTTTTTCTTTGACCTCCTGAACGTTTTATATAACATTAAAAAATTTTTTTTTTTTTTTTTTTTTAGCTCAAAGCTGTTATTATAAATGAAAATTATACCATATTACACGAATCAAGCATCGATTTCGATACACAATTACCAGAATTTGGGTAAATTATTATTATTATTATTTTTCTATTAACTATTAATTATCGATATTTTGTTTTAATTATGTTATTTTTTTTTTTCAGGACCAAAGGAGGAGTCATAAAAGGAGAAAATGGAAGTGTTACATCACCCGTTGGATTATGGATCAAAGCATTGGATCTTCTATTAGAAGAAATGAAACGAGATGGTATCGATTTATCGAAAATTAAAGCACTTTCAGGTGCTGCACAGGCATGAATATATATATATACACCATATTTTATTTTATTTATCGTTAATAAATAAATTTTTTAATTAATGTTTTATTTTACAGCAACACGGATCTGTTTATTGGAAAAAAAATTCTAAAATGATATTGGAAAATTTAAATTCGTTTTTTTCTCTTTACGAACAGTTAAAAGATTCTTTCGCCGTAGATCAAAGTCCAACATGGATGGATTCAAGTACAAATTTCTACTGTCAACGAATGAATCAAGTACTCGGTGGTCCAGAGGTAAGTACTTAATTAATTATCATCTCTAAATTTGGGTTTAGCCCGATATTTTAACATTTAAGTTTGAAGTGTTGAACGTAAAATAAATAATAAAATTCTATATGTTATAATAGAAAATGGCGGAAATCACCGGATCAAGAGCTTATGAAAGGTTTACGGGTCCTCAAATAGCAAAATTATATGATCAAACTCCTAATGTTTACAATAAAACCGAAAGGATTTCATTAATTAGTTCATTTGTTTGTTCTTTGTTTTTGGGAAAATATGCCGATATTGATTATGCGGATGCATCTGGAATGAATTTGATGGATATTAAAACTAAAAAATGGAGTCAAATTTGTTTGAAGGTAATTTTATTTAAATTTTAAACATATGATTAAAAGTGAAACGTCTTTCTTTTTTTTTTCAAAGGCCGTAAAAGCACCAGATTTATCGGAAAAATTGGGTGATCCTGTTCCTCCACATTCAAATTTGGGATACATATCAAAATATTTTGTCGAACGTTTTGGTTTCGATTCAAAGTGTAAAATTGTTAGCTTCACTGGCGATAATCCTGCCACAATTGTCGGTAATATTATTACTTAACATTTTTTATTGTTATTTGTTATTTCGGTAACGGATAATAATTTATTATAATTAAATTATTTAAGTATTATCATCACAGGTATGTGTTTAACATCAGAAGATATGGTCATGAGTTTAGGTACTAGTGACACATTAATTATTTCCATAACCGAACCAAATTTTTTTTTAAATGGACACGTTATGTGTAAAGCAAATTCGACAAACGAATGGATAAGCCTTTTGTGTTTTAAAAATGGTTCATTAACACGCGAACGTATACGTGATACCCATGCAAAAAAATCCTGGAACGAATTCAACAGGTTGTTAAATTCGACACCGAAGGGAAATTTTGGAAATATCGGATTGTATTTGGATGATACCGAAGTCATTTTTCCTATAAAAAAAGGAGATTATAAATGGAATTCGAACGGAAATAAAATCGAACAATTTGATTCGCCCGAAATAGAAGTATGTACCGATATGTATAATATTTTTAATTTATAATTTGATTACTATTAGATATTGAAAAATTTTTTTTTTTTAAGATTAGAGCACTGTTGGAAGGTCAATTTTTCATAAGAAAATATTATGTTGAAGAATTAGGTTTTAAACCAACAAAAAAGAGCAGAATAATAGCGACAGGAGGTGCATCGTCTAATAACAATATTTTACAAGTTGCATCGGATATATTTCAAATGCCTGTTTATATTCAGGTAAAATACCTATTTTTTTTCTATTTCGATTATGAATGAAAACAGGACCGGTACAGGTTTATATAAATGTTATTTTTTAATAGAGAAAAACAAATTTGAATAATTTTAGGAAATGAGTAATTCTGCTGCAGCATTAGGATCCGCTTATTTAGCAAAAGAAGCACAAGAAAAAATTTCATTTCTTACAGATAAACAAATTTCCCAAATAAAATCAAATTTTAAACATGTTTGTTCACCGTGCGAGGATTCAAATTTTGTAATTAAAAATTTTTCTTTATTTTTTTTTTCTCCCTTTAAAACAATAATAATATCGATAATCATTTTGAAATTTTTATTTTCTTTTAGATTTACACATCAACGTTTAATAAATTCAAAGAACATTTTAAAAAAATCTTATGATTTTTAAGTTGAGGGGGGAGGGGGGGAATAAAAAAAAAAATAAATATTTTTTATATACATGTATATATAAGTATTTATTCACTCAAATAAATGAAAATTAAAACAAATATAAAAAAAAAAAATTAATATGTATCATAAATAATGGTAAAAATGGAAATATATAATATTATAATGATGCTGCGATTTACTCTCTTTAACTAAATCTTCAATATTTTTTATTTTATTCGGATGTAAACAAATATGTTTGTTTTACATACCTTCTCAATAAAAATTTTTTTTTTTTTTTTTTGTTAATTTATTTATCCGTGGAAGTAAAGGTAACTCTTTATCCGTTGACAAAATAAATAAATTTTTCAAAGCTCTTCTTCTTTTTCCAATTTATAAAGCTCTTTCATTTTATTGCAAATTTCCTACGAACAAAAAAAAAAAAAATTTAATAATATAAAAGGAAAAATGCATAACGACAAATAAATATACGGTACCATTTTCATTTCCTTGTCAGGTATCAATAAAATTTTCACTTCCGGTTTTGAATTTTCACCCTTTGAAGCAATAGTTATTCCTATGCCTTTGGAATGACAATACGGACTGTTTGGCATCGACTTCCAAGACATTGACATGTGTTCCTTTAAATTAAAATTAGTTTTTTAATTAATTATTTTAACACGATGATTGAAATGAAACAAGACTAATATTTAAAAGATATTAGTTTCTTTTTACCTTCCACGTTCCGAAAAATTCATTTAATTCGGCTAAAATCATTCTTTTGTTGGTAAATACGGCAACTTCGTTTTGTTTCAACATTACGTGAAAAACGTATTTATCATTGTTGCAACGTCTTTTCGCACAAAGATAATATAAAATTGTATTACCAATGGCTTCATTTAAATTATAAGGTTCGACCAATTGATCGTCTCGAAAAAATCTCGGAGGTCTTAATTGTTTAGTTTCGAAATTTGGACCGGTTGCTCTAAAATTTAAATTTTGCACATTACGAATAAGTAAAAACAAAATAAAGTTTGTGAATTAAATCGAAAAAAAAACCTTTTTACGACATTTAGGGATGTACTAGCAAAATCGACCACTCCCGTAACAGGTCTCATAAATAACCCCATCATTCCTTTTCCCATTCCTTTTATAAATCCTCCAACACCTTCTTGTCTAGCTCCTTCGATGGGTTTTTTAACAACTCCGGTTACTCCCTCATATAATCCCATAACCAAATCTCGACCTCCTCGAGCCATAGATGCTTGAATGTTTTCTTGGTGACTTTGAAATGCCATTCTTCGTATTTGATATTCTTTGTCGAGAGACAAAACCGCTAAACCTTTACCTGAAAAAATTTTCCAGCATCATGTTTAGTGAAAAAAAAACCGTTTATAATTGCACTCTAAATCTATTGGTTACATTACTTTCTCAAAAATTTTTTTTTACCTAAAGTATCGGTTAATTTTTGCAATGTCCCAGCAGTGGAACCTACTGTGTGACCAAATAAACTTTTACACCCGATAGCGACTCCTGTTGCAAATTCAGAGGGACCGTGTACCATGCCCTATAATAAAAAAATTTTAATTTTTAAAATACTTTTTTTTTTTAAAAAAATCATTATATAAAAATTAATAATTTACCTGAAAGGGCTCGTAAAAAAAGGCTTCGACTCCTTCTTTTAGTCCAACAATTAATCCGAAAGGGTTTCCGATAACATCCAAACCTAGTAGTAAAACATAAGCTTGTCTAATCATTTGACCATAATAATGACTGATCACTTCTTTTAAAAGTTGACTTTTGGTAAAAACTATACTTTTCCTTTCAAAGTATGATAACCTGATAAAAATAATGAAAATAATTTTGAATGTATAAAATCTGTAGTAATTGACTTTTTATTTGAGAAAAAAAATATAAATATAAAAAATACATCAAATATTGTGGGCTCTACCTGAAAATGACATCATGGACATCCGTTAATGTCACGCCAACACTTTGAAACATAACATTAAAAAATGGAGGTAAAGATCCTGAGTCTATGGTTCCCGCTAAAGAAAAACTAAAATGAATCTAAAAAATTTTGAATGATATTTTTTTTAATCGGTTTAAAATGATGATGCCTAATAATATGTAGAATTTAAAGCGTTTTTTTTTTTTTTTTTTATGTACAAAAGGAGGTACAAGTTTACTATTTACCTTTACAGGTGACAAATGAAGGAATTCATAATAATTTTTTTGCTCGCTTGATGAAATCACTTCAACGTGGTCAATTAAAGGTTTTACAATTTGATTCAAATCACGCAAAAAACGAATTTTTTGCTCTTCATCGGATATCTTTTCAGGAGCTAAAAATAACCAAAATTGTTGAAGGAATCCAATATCAATTTTAATAGTGAATTCCTGAACAAGAATTTCAAAATATTTATACTGTTCAACTCCAGAACTATCGGCCGCCTTTTTAACTATAGATAATTCAAAAAAAGGCTTAATATCTGAAATTTAAAAAATTAATTAAACAAAAAACAATAACAATTATTAGGTTATTATAAAATTACATTAATTAAGAGCTCTAATATCTCACGCTTGTACTTTCGCTTACCTTGATACAAGGTAGATACGGTTTTAGGAGGTGGTACCGGGCTAAGAATGACTGGGAAAATAAAATCTTGTAGTTGATTGTCAATTTGAATTTTGTTTATTTTTAAATTTATCATAATTTGATCTTCCATAACACGATATGCTATCCAAAGACCAGGTTTAAACGTTCTTCTCAATTCTCTTTTATGAGGTTCGAGCATTTGCATCGTTTCAAAATCCACCTAAATTTAATCCCGATTAAAAAGTTTTTTTTTCTTTAGGATTCGCTTGTTTGTCATTTTTTTTTTTTTTTACCTTTATTTTATCAGTGACCTTCATAACAGATGACATTTTAGTATTGATTTCAACGTCACTATGATATTTTCCAAAAGCTAATTCTATTTTTTCCGAATCATCTTCTTTTATCGGCTTATACCGAGTTTTGTTAACTTTTTTAACTTCCCAAATAACGCCGGAACTTGAAAATTAAAAAAAAAATTAAATAAAAATAAAATAAAACAAATAATAATAATAATAATAATTTTAATTAAAAAATTTTTAATTTTTTTTAAAATTAAAAAAATTTACCTTAAAAGTGAAATATAAAGAATTTCTGTGAGGTTAATATTATTTACAACCGAAATGCCAATACCTTGGAATTCGCAAATTAGTTCTAATCCGGTAGATGTGTTCAAAATATTTGATATACTACTTGAGAGTCCGACATCGCAATTAAAAAGTAATATCCTTTGAATACCATCCATAAAAGTTAAATAATGTACGATTTGTTCATCTTTTGTTACAATTTCCCCTCTATTGTCCTAAAATAATTAATTAATTCATAAAAGTTTATTTATTATTATTATTATTATTATTTTTTTTTTTTTAACCATATCTAATATTACCTGACCAAGATCTATCTCATTGTTTTTTTGTTTTAGATTAGTAACGGAAATTTTTCTCTTTCCAGTGGGAGATATCCAAGCGTGGAATATTTTATGATTAGGTTCCAAAGTGATGTGATAATCTGTGTTTACCTCCATCAAATTTATTGGAGTATTTGAATAGTTAATTATTAGAACTGGAGCATGGCCATCTTCATACGAAGTAAACGTTATATAGGTACCATATTGAGTCGCTTCAATATTAGCAAAAATCCCACCCAACTGTAAAAAAAAAATTTTTTTTTTAAATTATATTCATTCTTCTAGTTCACTTTTAGTGAATAGCTATTAATTTAGATACCTTGTGCTTCAATTTTAAAAGGCAGACATCCGCACCTGAATAATCAAAAGGTGGGGAAACAGCGTCAGAATCTTTAGGCCTTATTTGAATAATTTTTGAATGTTCACGTGCTTTCGGCCAAAATGGAAAACACGAATTGTCGGGTATTTCCGTCCAAGACTTGTCTGAACTTTCTATTTCACGATATTCTAATGTATATTTAGTTTCGTTGATAAAAACATAATAGGGTGTAAATGTAACGATTTTAGTCAAGCTGTTAGACGTCAGTGATATGCTTACTGATATCTGAAAAAAAAAATAAATAAATAAAAAATATTCGAAAAAGTTATTTTTCTTAATTAGTAACAGTTGTAAAGAAATAACTACAATTTACGATTAGTAATAAATAACAAAACTAACGTGATAAACCATATTCGAATGGGTATCCACACATTTTATTGTTCCTCCACTTCCGGCAACGTCAACGGGAAACTTTTCTGACCAATGACTGTGATTTATTTTAACAAACGCTGATTTTTTAGAAAAAAACTTTTTGAAAGTAGGAGAAAACATAACAGGTATTTTCATATTTTCAGGATGATGAAAAACTGTTTGGCTACCATCAAACTGCAAAAAATTTTATCTCATTAAAAAATTAAACAATTGGTTAAAATTAGTAATAGTTTAAAAAAAAAAAAAAAAATCATTTTACGCGATAAGATAGTAAATGTCCGGTTTTATTGACCATGAAATAAGGAGAATAAACAGAATATATGGCAGTGTTTTGATTATAAGTGCAATGAACTCCTAAATTAATATTTTCCGGAGATAATCCATTGTATGAAACGAATTTCCATATAGAAAACTCGGGCGGATTATCAAGGATCGCTTCCTTGGTCGACCATTCTTTTTCTAAATAATCGTTAATCTAAAAAAAAAATAACAAAAACTTTCATTTTTGTTTCTAACCATCATTTAATACAAAAAAAAATAGTTTTTAATATTTATCAATACAAATGAAAAAAAATTTAAAAAAACATATAAACAAACCCTGAGAGTTATGACTGAATTTCCAGGTTCTGCACAAGTTATTTGTAAAATATTTCCTGGTCGCAAATAATGCTCTTTAGCACTTCCTTGAAAGCAAATAACTAAATCCACTGGTAAACAATTTAAAATTTTTATTGTAGGTTGTAAAAAAATTGAATAATTAATGCTCGAATCGGTTTTTCTATTTGTATTTGCTAAATAAATTTCTTCCATCTCTCCGACAGCCTACGCACAAAGAAATAAATGACTCCATTAGAGCAACGGGCAAAATTTTATGGTACGTAAAATTTTTTTTTTACTAACTTTAATAAAAAATGGATCATTATTTTCTGGAGTTTTTGCATTGCATTGAAGAAGCACACTCGTGGGAGTCTGTTTTTCAATATTTTCCCAAGAGAAAGGACGACTCGATAAACGATACCTAAAGTTGGATAAATTTAATTATAGGTATAACAAAAAGGTAATAAAAAAAAAAAGAAAAAAAGAAAAGAAATTTTTACCCATCGGCACTAAAAAACAGTTTTTTATCCTTATTTTGTACAACGTGGAAAGGCAAGCTAAGTTCAGAATTCCCTTCTACTACACCAATGTAAACAGCTTCATTTTTGTCTTCGGTTAATGAATGTATATGAATCGGCTCGTTGAAAAAATTAAATATTTTAACGTTACTTCGTAGAGTCAAAGTTGCTGTGACATCTTGAATCTTGAGATCCGCAACCAAACTCAAAACATTTTTTTTTTCCTCATTTTCAATTGGAATAGAGTAATATCTTTTTGAAGCAATATTTAAAGGAATCTCGAAAGTTTTTGAATCAACGATAGGAAACTAAAAAAAAAAAAATTTAATATCACACTTGTAAACAATTGAATAATTTAAAGTAATAAAAAAAATAAATAAATAAATAATTAACTAACCTTAGCATGCAACCGCAATCCACTTTTTCCATCTAAAAGACATATTTTTTTGAATTCGGATATTTTCGAAGATTTTGTTTGAAGTTCGACTTCACTATTTGATTCCAATTTAACAGAGGTATATTCATTATCATCACCTTTACAAACCTATATTTAAAAAAAAATATAATAAAATTATATTTCAATTTTAAAATTTAAAAAAAAATATGCTCAAGTAGGTATGATGTTGATTTACTAACTCCAAAATCGGATTCATCCAAAAGAAGTTCAATAATAAGTTCAGTTTCATTTCTCACGATGAATGGCGGTAAATCTGTATATTTACTCACAATACCTTTCGACACGGCAGAAGTGTACGTATCGAGAACGTTTTTTA